ATTTCCACTGTACAGATGAGGAGACGGACTAGGAGAACTTCAGGGTCTTCCAATCGACCCCTGGATGTTAGGTCTGCTGACTCAAAACCCTCTTCACTATACTGTACTGACCCTGAGTTGTCTTCCAATGTTCCAGAACTTTATTAATTAAGGAGAGAGACCAAAAATTATAGAAGATGATTACCTATAGTAAAACACATTTTACAGAGTACTTTTAGCAAGAAAGAGCTGCTGATGGAGAACCAACAAAATGTATAATGAACATGAGAGAATCCTTCTAGTCTGAACACAGGTTTGCTTTGTTTGGAGATTGGTCATCTTTTTTCCCTGCTCCAAGATTTTGTTTCTCACTATTAAGAGTCATTTGATTCTCACTGACGCACAAGGAGTTGGGAGGGTTGTGTAATATTGCATGAGGCTGACCTTACCACTGGTGGAAAAATTGCCAGCCAGACACAACGTGTCAGCTCAGAATGACTCAGGGGTGGGCTCAGCAGTATCAAAGACCTTTATATCAAATCCTTAACAAAGGAGGTTAGTGTAAACAGGACTTCAGGGCTGGGAAATGACACAAGAAGAGGACAGTCACTTCCTCATCAGAGGACATGGCTTTTGCCAAAATTTGCTGAAATGTGTCCACATTAGTTCCAAATAGACATGAATTAGAGGACTCATATCAATATGTGCTATGTTCTATCAGGGACACAGAGAATAGTGTAGTGAAGGGCTGGGTTGGGGTGGGAACTGGGTGGAGGAGGGAAATGGAGAAAATGGGGGGACATCTGTAATACTCTCAACAATAAAGATTTTTTTTTAATATTTAAAAATGTGTGCTATGTTTCAGATCCAGATGAGGAAATATTCGAGGCCTGGCAAACTCTCTTTCCTACCCTCCATAAATAGTTCAATGCTATTTACACTTTTCAGTTAATAACACTTTTATATCAAAAAGAAGAAAAGAAAAAGATGATAACATTGGAAGAGTTAAGTGGAAATGGGAGAACTAAAAAGAAAAAATATCTGCATGTAAAACTACATAATAGATACAAAGGGAAAAAAATCTCATTGAATAATAATGGCAAGAGTAGGCTCATTGTAAGCACATCCTCACTACCTTCTCTTTTACAATAACTACTTCAACACCTCTTTCATTGTTGCCCCAGCTGTAACTCAAGTATATAACTTCAGCCCTCAGTTGACTATATAAATACAACCCATATGAATTAATTTAAATTTTTTTCAATGTTTTTAATATAGGTAGGGACATTTTCAATTACATTCATATGTTGCAGAATGGAGCCATTACTAGTAGAAAATTGAACTATGGATAGTAAGGACATTGAGTTAATAAATAATATGGAAAACTTTGGTAAATCAAATAGGCTTACCAGTATAAATGTTCTCCCAATCTATCCAAAAATAATCCAACAAGTCATTTTAAACTGTATACATGCTGTGTTGTCATTTCTTTACAGTGATGGATGAGAAGATTTAATTTGTTTAACCTAAGCAACCTCTGTATCAGGCAATGAATGATATAAAGTGTGTAGTAAAGAGGCTATCCACTGTGGCACACAAAAAGATGGGTTTCCTCATCAGTGGTGGTCAGTAAAGATGCACAGGAAAAATTGTGCTTGGCAGGAAAACTACAAATCCTATATAATAAGAGAGGAATATGCTAATTATCTGTTAACGCTGTAATGTCATGACCAATCTACAAGTGGTGAAGAGCTACTGGAGGGCGGGGCAGTGAGCTAGGAGTGGGGAGAGCTACAGGAGGGCAGGACAGTGAGCTAGGAACAGGAACACAGGAGAGCTGCAGGGCAGGGCAGCGGGCAGAGAGCTACAGGAGGACGTGGCAGTGAGCTACAAGCAGCCAAGAGCTACCAGCAGCGGTGGGTGGGTGGCCAGCTGAGGCAAGCAGCAGCAAGCTACTCGCACATGGATTTGTGCTCAGGGCTACTAGTATGAATATAAAAAGAATGCCAAAGAAATGTAAGACATTAATTTATAACCCTCTAATGGCTAATTTGGTCCGACTTTGAAAGTAAACATTACATAAAAGGAACAACATGCTCTCTTAACATCCTAGAAGAAATTATTTCAATAGTAAGCTGTATGGCTGGTGGTGGTACTGCATGGTCCAATGAACTTTGATGGAAAATAGAAAAAAATTCCTACGCAAGAAGGAGAAACCTGCTTTGATGTGTACCTCTCAAAGAAACACACAAATTGGGTTATCCATACGCCTGACTAGTTACAAAATATATTATCAATGAAATACCTATATATTGATTTCTATAATCATGACCAATAGCTCAGCAAACTAAATAGAATATTGAGAATCAAAAGCTAACAATGAAATGTGACATACAATACACAAACATACTCAAAAGGAGGATATTCTTGAACATCAAATTATAATTTCTCTTTCAATTCTAATAGCACCCATCTATCTAAATCTGGGTTATAGATATGTAACATATAACATACAGTCACTCTCCTGAAACGTGCCTGCTGAAGCAGGGCAAAGACATGCAGCACTTCAGGGATCTAGGTCAGAGTTAAAAATACAAGCCATAAATTCACTAATGCTAGAGGTGAATGAATAGCAAAGAAGATGAGATAGTCTCTATTACTTTGTATTGAAGCTCATAAAAGGTTTGCAATTATCTTACA